AACTGGATTCATCTTTGCTGATTCTCTTTACCTTTACAATTTGCATTCTGTCCGGCCATCTGGAGTAAGCATGCATGTTCTACGTGGCTCTGACTCTGAATAATTTGTTTGGGTTTCCCCCAAAACATAAATCCTTTCGAAACTATGGACATCCGTCAAATACCCTGTAAACTTTCGTTAGAGGTCCATCCCAAAGGCACGGAGAGCCTCGTCAATTGAGTAATCTTTTGTTATGATTTGGGATAACCTTGCAGGAAAATCGACAAAAAATATTGTTAAACTGAAAAAGAAAACTTCCCTCTTACTTTACTTCAAAGTAGCTCAGCACGGAAAACAAGATCGACGGAAAACAAACCAAAGGATAAAAATTCGAATTGTGGACAAACGAAAATGCTCCTGTGGCACCGGGACGGGACTTGACAATCGAGCTTCTCACTCTTCTTAATGTTTTTGAAGAATGCCCTTCGAAAACTTGTGCGTGGTGTTTGACGGAGTTGACCAAGGATGCCAGGAATGTAAAATATTTATTCTATATTAATTTGGATTTTATGCGGAGTTCCTTCCGCAGCTTAGCAACATGTGCATCATTTTTGCTCAACACAATAAAAACAACCATAAACAAACAACAATATCCAACGCTTAAAACACGCAATGCACTCAATTTTTCAACTTTCCTTTCGCAAATATAAAAAAATTAACAATGCCATTCACGTCAACATTGATTCCGGCATCACTGCTAGCCAGATTGATGCGATCCCTCTGTCCTTTTTATTCCACGATTGCTACTGTCAAATTGACCAATCAGAAACTGGCTCGGATTTGACAGCAAATTGGCTCGAAATCGCTACCCGATTGTCAAGTCCCGTCCCAGCTGTGGCATCGTCGCTGGTAAAACAGCGCCATCTCCTGCCATATGCAATGACCGTGAAGGGAATTTGCTGACAGATAAAACAACGGTCGTTGCCAGATGGAAGGAAAACTTTGAGACATTGTTGAATGGAGAGAGTGAAGGAACATCAGAAACAGAGTAAACATCGCAGACGACGATCAAGCATTGGAGCCTCCAACGCTAGACGAGGTTAAAAAGGTAATACGTGAGCTGAAGAACAATAAGGCTGCTGGGAAGGACGAGCTCTCGGCCAATCTTTTCGAAGTGAGTGAAGTGAGCAGTTGCATCAAGCAATCCACCGTATTCTAATGAAGATACGGGAGGACGAAGAACTGCCTGCTAGCTGGTTGGATGGTCTAATTTGCCCATTATTAAAAAAAGGGCAGTGCGCCAATTATCAAGGAATAACTCTTCTGAATTCGGCGTACCAAATACTGTCACGCGTTCTGTTTAACAGATTGAGACCGCTTGAGGAGTCCTTCGTCGGCGAATACCAGGCTGGTTTTCGATGGATCAAATGTTTCCCCTGCGTCAAATCCTTGATAAATTCCGGGAGTACAACTTGCAGACTCACCATCTGTTTTTTGATTTCAAAGCAGCGTACGAATTCAGTGAAGAGAAATGAGCTTTGACAGATTATGCTAGAACATGGCTTCCGGCGAAACTGATTAGACTGATTCGCGCAACGCTGGATGGATCGAAATCAAGTGTGCGGGCTGTAGATGAGATTTCGATCTCGTTCGTGACCTTAGATGGATTGAAGCAGGGCGATGCACTTTCAAACTTACTATTCAACATTGCTCTTGAAGGAGCGATTGGGAGAGCTGGTGTGCATCGGAATTGACCGTAGAGCAGTGGAAGAGGCCTTTGTGTCTTTTAAGAGGGAGACGGCGAGGATTGGGCTCACGATAAGTTCTACCAAAACAAAGTACATGGTAGCCGGTAGACAGCGTGGCAGCAATAGTGGTTTTGGTAGTGAACTGGTGATTAGATGGTGAACAATTTGAGGTAGTGGAAGAATTTGTGTATCTTGGAACACTAGTGACATGCGATAATGATGTTACCCGCGTGGTGAAAAGACGTATTGCAGCTGCAAACCAGCTGAAGTCCCGTAGCTTGCAAACGAAAACGAAATTTGCTTTGTATAAGCCGCTGATACTTCCGGTGGCCCTCTACGGCCGTGAACCGTGGACGTTAAAGCAGACTGATCGGAGAGCATTTGGTGTCTTCGAGCGTAAGGTGCTGCGAAACTACTCGGCGGGAAACAGGAAAATGGTATCTGGCGGCGTCGCATGAATCACAGGGGGAGAGGTAGCTCATCGATTCTTCCGGTTCACCTCCTAGCATCGTGCTATAAGGTACCAGGCGATAACCAGGGTAGTTGATCGATAGCTCGATGACTTCATTTCGTTGGCGTCTGCAATGGGAAATTCTCATAGCAGGCGTTGACGATGGGACGTTGTCGAGTTGTTGAATAGCAACTATCGTGGTAACTCACCGATTACCTGTCGATCTGCCAAATTTGGAAAGACGTCTGCATTGAATTGTCTCATATAATAATATTCCGCCCACTATATCACAAGAAATTGCGAGTAGCGGAGTGGAATGGAGATAAGTTAAGCATTGGGTACAGGACCAAGTCTTCCCTGGGTGGTGCCAGAAGATGAGCGCAATAGAATCATCAAGTTGCCATATGGCACGGAATGAGACTATTGCATGGCTGGGTAGTCTAAGTCTTCCATTCGTTAGTCATTTCAGGTGGATTAGAACAGGTTTAGGTGGGCGTTGGCCAGATTTGGATTTTTCAGATGTTATCCTGGATAGGACCCTGTCAATGAAGGCCTAAGTACTTTTTCGTAGTTTTTAGTTTTCGGATTTGAAAGATCGTCGGTTACAGTGGCCTGCTTACATATCAAAGAGATTTATGGTAAAATCGCTTGTGTATCGTGTATTTTGCGAAACTCGTTGTTGTCGTTGGTTCCGGGTTTGAATGGATACACAAATTTGAGCAACGGTATTATGTGATATGAGGGGCTCGGTGGCCTTGGAGCAACCGTTTTTGCTTACTGAGCAGAGCATCATGAGTCTAATCTCAGGGCCCATCCACATTCAAGATTCGTCAATCGTTTTATTTGTTAATATGACTACATGGTAATAACAGCAACTCGGTGATTAAAAAGGTGCTCGTCTGCCTAGTGGCAAACGTTTTTGCTTACTGAGCAGAAGACCGTGGGTTCAATCCCAAGCTTCTTCGCGTTATATGATCGTTAGGACATCAATTCAGCTTATCGTTTACCAAAACGAAACCTGCTGCAAACCCAACCCTCTTATCCAACATCCCAGTGATTCCTCGTGGAAGTGCAGAGGTGTTCTCGGCTTCCATCAAAGCGAGTGTCATGTCAACACAATCCTTCCCCTTCCTTTCTTGACCTGTGTTCGGGCGCGGCCGGCGCTGGTATTGCCTAATTTAAGATCACCAGTTTTTACACATTGAGGATGATTGCTAGTCCCAAGCATTATCTATTGGTTCTCTGTGTAATTACAGCTGATCTGGCAGTAACAGAGTAGCAACCGTGGGCGGTCAATCAAGCTCAAGCAAGCTCAAGCTCTGGCGGCGTCGCATGAATCACGAGTTGTACCAAAATGCTCGTGGCGACTGGAAGCGATTGGCTCAGGACCGAGTTCAGTGGAGAAGACTACATCGTTCGGCGCAGAATCAACAAGGCGATTCGTGGCCCATCAAGTATCAAGTAAGTATCCTTACTGTGTAATGCATCTCGAAATCTAAGAACTTGCTGTCTTCAGCAAAGTTGTTCTGGAAGTCAAACATAGATGGAGCTTTGGAGTAGATTTCCAACTTCAATGTACACAATTCCACTGATTCATTCTTTGTATAGATCAGTACCGACGCTGGCCAAGTCCTCATGGTCTTTGGGGAAAGGAAAGGATGAGGATTGGTTTGGATGATTATTAGTTCGTTTCTAGAGACCGAGTATACCTCTGCACCTCCACAATTGCCGCGGAAAGGATAGTTGTGTTAGTGGGTTGGGTTATTTTTAGATCAGGAGGGGATAGAATAAGCCATATTGCAAGGAAGGGACGGGCCTGGGATTGAACTGCCGACCCTCTGCACAGTAAGCAGAAACGGTATCCCGAGCAAAGTCTGAGATCAAATTGAAATCTAAATTTGATGTTGTGATTTCGCTGATAATGATTACTCAGGTTGTTGTCGTTTTGGTCGTTTTAACGGTTAAAATATCAAAATTGAGAGCAAACATATCTTCCTGTGACATCACATTGAAAACCATTTCTGCTATCAGTGAGAGCAAACTGAAAACCAAATTTGCTATCCATTATTCCTGTTGATAACAAAACAAGTATTCAATTTGATGTTATGCTAAGGCAATGAAAACAAACCCGTAACAACATATATTTAAAGAGCAAATGTACAGCAAAATGAAAACAAAATTTGGTATCAAATTTGTCAATGTGTAAACTGAAATCAAATTATGATTTCAGTTTGATGTTGATATCAAAACTTGATTTCAATTTGCTGTCATTTTGATGCTGGACTTTGCTCGGGTAACCAGTACTAAGCTACCGAGACAACACCTTAAAAAAGCCTATAAATTCGAAAGAAATTCTTTAAAATGCAGAGCAGAAGTCCAAATATAATTCTGGAATTCATATAATTGGAATTGTGGATAAGGATAAAACAAAAATATTTAGCTTTTAGTCAAATTCATTTAAAATTATTCTCAGGATTCCCAAAGAGAGTGATTTGTGTTCCTCTACTCTACTAATTCTCCTCAAAATTCATTTGAGATTCTCATTAAAATTCTCCAGACAATTCTTCAATGTATCAGAATCCGAAAATGTCATCTTAATGCTAAGTTCACATTGGCGAGTTATAACATGTTATAAGGCTATCTTGATTCTTGATAACATTTTTCTTGGCAATAATTATTATAAAATATGCCAAAGTGAACAATGTCTAACTTCAAGATTTACGTTTTTGTGCAAACCTCCTAAATGTTGTCAACATGAAAATCCCAACGCGCAACTATGAATCCAAACCCATCGCCCCAATCTGCAGTCAGAGGATACTTACTATTCCGGTTCGCTGACCAGGTCCAGCGCACACAGCACGTCCTGCAGCAGTGGGCCCGGTATGAAGTTGCTGCCCTCGGTATCAAACTGCCGGAAGACCCGCCGGGCCACCTCCGAGGGCGTTTCCGGTGAGACTAACCGCCGTTCGTTGCTGAACAGCACGGTAAGATGAGTCTCCGAGCCCATCACCCAGACCGGATTCTTCGGGTTCTTGTAGAAGAACCCAACCGTGCAGTACTGCAACTGCTCCATCAGCGTGATGAAACCGATGTCGGACTGTTGCGTAATGCCCTTCAGCTCTGAAGGAGGAGATAAACAAAAAATGTCACCTAAAGACCCACCACAATGAAATCAAAACCTACTTAAGCCACCGACGTCCTGTTCGTTATCCCAGACGTAGGGAACGGCATATCCGGTTAGCATGAGATTGATCAACGCTTGACTACCGTAGCCGTAGGTGCCATGTATCAGTGGCTCTGACGTGTCCGAAACCTCGCCATTCACGTTCTCCAGACCCTGAAAGCAAAATCGACCGTTGTTAGGACACGATCTCAATCGCCTTTTTTTTTCTCGGAAACATTTACCTTCGTCAGCAGAACCGTGTACAGCAGCAACAGTACGCCACACTCCTCGGCCAGCACGTGGAAATTACCAGCGTAATACTTCTCGACGTCATCGACCTGTTCCAACTCGGTGACGCACAGCCTCTCGTGGAACATTTCCGGACTCCACGATGCATCAGCTGCGGCACCCGCTGTTTCCTTTGCACCGCTTGCCGCTTCCGCCATCATATTTTGATTAACTAAATCCGAAGCGACTGCCGTGGCAGCATCCATTCCGAGTTCCACTTCCTCATTCGGTGGGAGGTTCTCCAGTGCGTCAACCATCTCTGCATCGCCGTCCAATTCTTCAACGGGACCGCCTCCGGAGGAGCACCCGGGACCGCTTCCGGTGGCCTGCCGCGCTTGCAATCCAACAATCCTATACTTGGAGGACTTGCATTTCATCAGAATCTGACAGATGGCCTGAATCAGCAGCGTTTTACACTTATCTGACGTCAGCTACCGGAGAAAAAAAGACCAGGGAAAATTTCTCATTCACGATAAATCACTAAACTGTCAAACCATCCAACTTACATCGCTGAAACTGTGTCCGGGTGTCTCCATCAGCAGAATCTTCAGCAGGTAGGCCTGCACCGGTGCGATTACACAACATGGTCCTCCATCGCGCTGGACCAGTGCCGAAGGTTCACACTCGCTAAACTCGAACCCTTGGGACCACCGATGGAACACCTCCTGCCGGATAGTAGAACCCCACAGCAACATCCGGATTTCCCGTAGCTCTCCCTGCAAGAGCTGCTGCGAACCGGATGACGTTCCGGCTGTGGCTGCCTCGCCCGGTTGCGGCTGATCGCTCGCTTGACCCTGCTGCTGCTGCTGCTGCTGCAACGAATGCTCACCCATCGCCGTGCTGCTCCTGATTTCCCTCGCGAGAATAGCCCTCGGAATCCAATCCCTTAAAAAGCCAAATGTCACAGCAGCGCAGAGGCAGAGGAAGAAAAATCCCACACACAAAATCGCCAACACTTTTCCCAACGAGGTTCTTCTTCCAGTCGCGGAGAAAGTCCGAATTTCACAAAACGCACCAGGATTACGCGACGACAATAGCTTCCGAGAATCCGCGTTGCTAACCGCAGTCGACGTACAGATCGAGGCTTTCAGGCAGAAGCAAAATTCGATTTTTCCGCTGCCAGATTTTGTCACACACAGGTTTTTTTTTCTGCACTCGACACTTTTCTTCCACTCCCTTTCGCTTCTATGACTTTTCTGAATCACTCTGCTGCGGCTGCCACTACCATGTATTTACACACAAGATGCAATTTTAAAGAAAAATATTTCCTCTCGTCGTTCAGTTCGCGGAGTCGCGAACGCGATGTTTGGCTGCGGTGCACGGTGACGGACGACGGGGGTCGAAAAGGAAAGCACTGGGCGATCTTCGATTCGACCGACCGCAGCGGTCGATCGACTTTTCGATTTGGCTGGCAACAATCCTCGATCGATTTCTCGGGGTTTTTGCGAGGGGGAAGATACACGGATAGAAATCTCCTTAGGGGCTGTTCATAAACTACGTAGACAGTTTAGGGGGGGGGGGGGGTTGACAATTATCCGCGGCCCATACAAATTTTAAAAATTTTGTATGGAAAATTGTCTACGCAGGGGGGGGGGTTCAATAATCCCAAAAAACGGTCTACGTAGTTTATGAACAGCCCCTTATACCCCGTACAGACTATGGCTTATATCATGTAATATAGGCTGTCTTGCAATGAGCACTCATACATAGGATTTCCAGAGAAAACTTGATGTATGAGTGCTCATTGCAAGACAGCCATATTACATGATATAAGCCATAGTCTGTACTGGGTGTCGTAACCTTTCCGCAACATTTTCACTTGGTCACACGAGCAGTCACCGTGTTCTTCCGTCAATGTGTATTGAATCTCTGACCTCCAAATTTCAAAACATACACCTAACACCGACAAAATTCGCCAAGCGCTTGCACACAGGCAACATTTCCATAGAGCTCCGGCACAATATGACAAAATGGGTAATTTGGTGCCGGAAGATCGACCAGAGGATACATCGACAGAGTCAGATTCAATGAATTTGGGGGCGCAGGAGGGATTGTTGATGCTGCCCATTGCGAATGAAACACCTACTACACTGGGTATTACCAACAATTACACTAACGTGTATGAGCTGCCTGCACTAAACGGGAAACAGAGAGTTTGTAAGCAAATGTTCCTTAGTACGTTCGATGTGGGTGATAAGAAAATAAGATGGCTTGCCTCCAAAGCTATCAAGAATGCCGGAATCTGCTCAGATGATCTTAGAATGAAGAATCGCAATCCGAACCGAATCACAGAAACGAAGCTAGATATGATCAAAGCTCATATTTTGTCGTTTCCAGCTTATGATTCACACTATACACGCGAAAAGTCCACTAAATTGTATTTATCTGGCGATCTTATTCCCCGGACAGACTATGGCTTATATCATGTAATATAGGCTGTCTTGCAATGATCACTCATATATCTAGTTTTCACTGGAAATCCTATGTATGAGTGCTCATTGCAAGACAGCCTATATTACATGATATAAGCCATAGTCTGTCCAGGGTATTACAGTTATAAAAATGTACACACTTCTTATACCTCGCTCACATTACAGCGTATATCACGTAATATAGGCTGTCTTGCAATGAACACAAATACATAGGATTTCCAGTGAAAACTAGATGTATGAGTGCTCATTGCAAGACAGCGTATATCACGTGATATACGGTGTAATGTGAACGGGGTATTAGCAAAGAGGTAACTCTAATACCTCGTTCACATTACAGCGTATATCACGTGATATACGCTGTCTTGCAATGAGCTCTCATACATCTAGTTTTCACTGGAAATCCTATGTATGAGTGCTCATTGCAAGACAGCCTATATCACGTGATATAGGCTGTAATGTGAACGGGGTATAAGACCACTGGGTCCCGAAGAAAATCATTATTATTTTTGGCTCACTCAGTACCAGAACAACGGTCCCAAGCAGTCCCAAGCTATTTCACTCACCCCTGCATGTTCTGCATGAATCCACACACCCCTGATGTTATCTGTCAAACTTTCATAGCGAATCAAAACAAACATAGTGTAGTAATAGAATTTCAACTAGAATAGGGTACGTTAATCGTTTGCTTGGGACCAATAGGCTGCTAAAGTGGTGAGCCAATTTAAAATCGTTAGTTTCGTATTGATTGTTGGTATACCTGTACTTGCCGCTGAGATGAGTACATTCGACTCAATTTTGAGTTGACCAGAATAAGCGTGTAGTGTGCGCCGATTAACGTTGAAAAGCTCTATTGACAAATCCATGTTTCAATCGACCACCGTGACGCTGCAATCGCTGAATAATTTTTGAAATTTCCACCAAAAAACTATTATTTTCTACTCGATTTTCTATTCATTCTAGCGAGTTTCTGTGGAAGTCAAAACATGATCCGAGCAAAAAATTAGTACTCGTAATAATGGTATATAATGCTGAATTTTATCGTGCTTTGTTTCGAAAATATCTTCCAAATAAACAAACATCATCCAAATCACCCGATGCGTCCATCGACTAAATCCATTACCACTTAAAAATTCATTTCAGTCGGTGTATTAATCAGCACATTAAATCGTTTTTCTTCTGGTGCTACACCGAGCAATCGGCCTATCTAATAGTTTTTCGTCGATTGATTTAGTCGGCCAACTTTGTCTGCTGTTTAATCGGCAGATGATTTCAAACCCTAACATGTTTTCAGTGATTTATAAGTCTTGAAGTAGCTTTTTATTTAAGAACAATGCATTACAAAATAGTTTTATGCATTTTGTACAAGATTCATCCATGCTGACAACAAATTTTCATGAAATTACATTGAAATTATATAATTTGGCAAACAATCAATGAAATTTTCAAGGGCTGTCACAGACTTATCACCGTCGGTTAGTGCTTATTCCTGCCACCAGGCGCGCAGTAGTTTAAGTTGGATTTCTCAATTGGCAAATCAAAGTTGGCACTCGTGGAGAATAGATGAACTATGAAAGTGCTGATGGTTTCAAAATTTTACACGGTGAGGTATACGAGTTCAATCTTAAAATGCCTTTATTTTGCAAATGGAGCATTTTATTTAATTCTGGTTAATGCTACGCTAGTAGAAAACTTAAGGACTACTTAATAGACACATAATATAGAAAAATAATTTCTTTTTCAGATTTTTAGGTGTAGACATAGATTTCAGCTTTTCTACAACTGTAGCAGCAACCAGAATTAAATAAAATGCTCAATTTGCAAAATAAAAGCATTTTAAGATTGCATTTGTATACCTCCCCGTGGAAAATTTTGAAACCATCATCACTTTCATAGTTCTTCTATTCTCCACGAGTGCCAACTTTGATTTGCCAATTGTCTCCTCTTTTCTTAGGGTTGAACGTACGCAGCCATGCTTTTATTTAGGCTGTGAACCATTTGCCGAGTTAAATTCAACTCGTGGTTAAAAGTGACATTTCGAAAGTTATTTCTTATGTTCGAAAATCCCCGTGCTGTCGATCGACCGGTTTTCGAGCCACAGTTGTCAAAATTTAACTTCTTGTCTGTCAGAAGTAACCACGCTCGGATAGCAGGGTTAATCGATAACTTTCCATCTGTCAAATTTTAACCAAAAGTTAAAATAATTCGTCAAATGGTTCAGAGCCTTAGTTTGTTTTGGGTTTTGATGGTTTTGATCAGGGCGTCACAATATCAGCTTCAATCGACCAAATCGATGCGACGAAGAGACTGCTGGCTTTCTTTTTCTGTTAAAGTCGAACATTTTCGCAGCATTCTAGAACCTCAGTCGGCGTGCACAAACAAATGTTCAATCGCTTGTCTCTCTTTCTCCCGTCGCTCCATTGGTCTTCCTTTCAAGCTTCGTCGAAATGGATGAGCGAAAGAGCGCTCGACTTTGATAGTTTTCTCTTTCATGAAACACATCAACAGAGGTTTCATGACGTATATGACGGAAAATGAAATAACACATTTAAAGCATTTCTCACGTCAAAACACTTGAAGATTACACGTCATATTTCTAATTTATCTTCCATCCATATATTTATCTAAAAAAAAATGATCGAAAACGGGACATAACGCATTTTAAACAAATTGAAAGAGCGGCGATAGAGTGTTCGTGAAAGGGGATTGAAAGCCATAATGAAGTTCGTTTAACTAGAAAATCGACGTTATTTACATTGAAAGCGATGAGCAAAGCAACGACGAGAAGTTCCACAGCCAGCCTTTCCTTCCAAGCGTCCTTCTTTTTTATTTTCGTTTCTTGCTGATAGTCTAGCTAGGCGTTATAGAAATGAAGCGTCGAACACGTATGTATGAGAGAAACAAAACACGAGTTCATTTTAGAGCTTCGAAATTGTAGAGCCCTGGTTTTGATCAACATCGCAGAATCTTCCCTCTTTCGTTTCGTGGTGGCTTTTAAGATTTTTCCTAAAAATCCAAGCTGCTCTTTTAACGGATGGAGATTAAAATTGAAGCACCTTAGCTCAACAACAACCAAGGCCACTATGAGCAAGGAAACGACCGCAATCGAGAAAAGCGATCTCAAGCCGGTTAAAACCAAGATGCGCATCAAGAAGACTGAAGTCCGCCAGTGCCGGTTGTGTTTGAGGGTTGTCCCACGGGATGATGTCCAGGATACTAGAACCAACGAGTCGGACATCCGCCAGAAAATCCTGGATGCCGTTGGGGTCAGGATTAACGCCAACGACAAGGTGAGATCGGTTTGCATCAACTGTCTGCTGGTGGTTGACATGATCAACGAGTTCCGGATGACCTGTCGGAAGGCCGATTTGCTGCACAGTACGAAACTGTTGATGATGCATCCGGGAAGTTGGTTGAGCGAAGAGAACAAAGGCACGTTGCAGGTGTGTCATAAGTTGATTAAACGGAACCGAGCTGAGATGGATGGGTTGTTCAAGTGCTCCCGGGTTGGAGATGGAGATATTCGGCTACTGTCGAAAGGGAAAGAGAAGGAAGTGGTGCTGGAAGAGATGCAGGATACGGAAGTAAAGATAGAAAAGATGAACGATAATGAACAGGGGACGAGCGATCAGTGCGGGATAAATATGAGGCAATCGCAGCAAAGGATTATGTGCGATGTATGCGGAATGTTGATCCATAAAAGTAGTGTAGAGAACCATCTGAACCGACACTTGGGCATCAAACCTTACCTGTGCACCCAAGAGAGATGTAAGACAGCATTCTACAGCAAAAGTAATATGAATAAGCATGTAATATCGGTTCATCAGAAGGATCACCAACGGTACGAGTGCAAAATATGCCACCGGATGCTCAAGGGTAGGGTGGGCCTCCGGGGCCACATAAGAGCGCAACATTCCAAGAAGGCTAAGCACCCACTTAAGACCGAATGCAGCATTTGCGGGAAGATGTACTACAAGTATGTATTCCGATTGACTTGCATAAGGGTTTTTTTTTATTGATTCGGATGTCTTATCTAGGATTTATATCAAGGATCACATGGCCACACATACGGGAGATCTTCCCTACGAGTGCGAATTTTGCGACAGGAAGTTTGCTGCGAATAACAACTGGTTATTCCACAGGAAAAAGTACCACCAGGATGAGCTGAACGCGCAATGTTCGACAGATAATACGTCAGAAGATAATAGACTTTTATAATAGACTTAAATAAGCTCAACAGAATATTTATTCCACAAAAATCCTGCATGAAACATAGAGCTACCTTATTTTAGGTTCGTCTCCGATTCGCTCCTGTACAGGGAACGGGCTCCGGTGGTATGTCCCACATTATGTCTCAAACTGACTGATGAACTGATGAAAATAATATTTGCATCAGCCTAATACAACCTTTTACCTAACTGTAATAATGCAACGAGAGAATCGACCATCGCAGTTAGGCCCTTATGATTCTCAACGCTAGATTCGATACGATTTCGAAAGTTGACCCTCTGAATGGCAAAATGTTCTCAAAAAAAATGAATAGTGTAAATTTGAATGTTTCACATACCTATTTAAATTTATCGTTGAAAATCTATTCTTTCTTAAGCTTGTCCAAGTGCTTTTTCTTCCTGTGAACGTGCAAATTGTTTTTGGCGATATCGAATTTCATACCGGAACACTTGTACAGCGCCTCCATCTCGGCCCGGCTTCTATTGACCAGTCGATGGCATGCCTCCAGCGTTATCATCGCTAAGCCAACTACCCGGATGAATCATCAGCAGCCGGGTTCGGTGAATCGTGTCCGCTCGCTGGCAGACCGCCCGAAAACAGGATATTGACGACCAACAAACAGTTGATACACACCAGGTTCAGTTTGTCCTCGGATGTAATCTGCACCGAAACGGCTTCCAGGATCTTCCGGCGGAGGTCCACGCTGTCTGTGTCGGTTTCGCGCGGGAAAACGCGCAGACACAGACGACACTGATGGATCTCCGATTTTTTCAACCGGATCTGCGTTTTGACGGCCTTGAGGGCTTTTTTCACGGTCTGCGGCAGCAGGTTCATTATTATCCGGCCAGATCGGATTTGCTTCCGATTTTTGTGTATCACGATTTGTTGGTAAACACCAGGATTCTGTCGATTCCCTCGTGTCCTACGTACGCAGCCATTTCCATCGCGCTGCACTACAGCGCCGTTTTGCTATCCGGTGGTCGGTATCAAACGTTTGAAATGTCACAACTTGACAGTCCGTGCATTTCAAAAATTCGATAACCTGCAAAAAAGACAAAAAAAACTTTAACAGAAGAAATCCCGCATAACAGCTAAGGCGTCCGTCGAAATTTACTCCCATTGTTTGCGGTGAAAAAAATCGTTTATTTTCAGTGAAAATTCGTTCAATTTAACCCGCAAACAAACCGCAGCCGGCCAACGATGGAACGCAAACCGGAAACCCAGATCCAGAACGCCCCGAGCGATATAATATCGTCGGTAAAGTTTTCACCCAACACCAATCAGTTTCTGCTGGTTTCCAGCTGGGACTCGAGCGTCCGGCTGTACGACGTCGTCAACAACACCCTCCGCCAGAAGTACTACCACGATGCACCGGTGCTGGATTGTGCTTTTCACGTGAGTTGGATGACCTTCTGAATAGTAACCTTATTTTTCTAACTAATGGGCAAACATTCTTTCAGGACTCGGTCCGTACGGTCAGCGCCGGGTTGGACAACCTGGTCAAGTTATACGATCTGAACACACACGCCGAAAGCATCCTCGGAAGTCACGATGCCGGGGTGAAATGCGTCGAATACTCGTCCAAAGTGAACGGCATCCTGACGGGAAGCTGGGACAAGACAGTCAAAATGTGGGACATCCGAGATAAGGATTGCGTAGGGAAGTACGAACAAAGCAACGGAAAGGTATACTCGATGAGTTGCATTGACGAGAAACTGGTGGTGGCCACCTCCGAGCGAAAGGTTCTGGTGTGGGATCTCCGTAACATGGGACAGTACCTGACCAGGAGGGAATCGTCCCTCAAGTTCCAGACGCGAGCCATTCGATGCTTCCCGAACAAGGAAGGCTACGTGATGAGTTCGATTGAGGGTCGTGTGGCGGTGGAGTATTTCGACATGGACCCGGAGGTGCAGAAAAAGAAGTTTGCCTTCAAATGCCATCGCTCCAAGGAGAATAACATGGAACTGATCTACCCGGTGAATGCCATCAGCTTCCACAACGTATTCAACACCTTTGCCACCGGCGGATCGGACGGATACGTCAACATCTGGGATGGGTTCAACAAGAAACGCTTGTGCCAGTTCCATCTGTATGATAGTTCGATCTCCTCGCTGGCATTCAGCTACGACGGAAGCACACTGGCCATTGCTTGCTCGTACCTGGACGAAGCGGACATGCCACCGGAGCCCGTTCCGGAACCGACCCTGTACGTGAGGTACGTGAGCGAAGCGGAGACGAAACCAAAATAATGTGAGATGATTAATAATTCTAAGGTAGCTCTATGTTTCATGTAATTTTGTGGATTAAATATTCTGTGTGGTAAATTAACTAATCAGATGTTGAACTTATTTAACAGTCTATTGTAAAGGTCTTTTATGTTCTGACGTATTATCTGCCGAATATTGTGCGTTCAGCTCATCCTGATGGTACTTTTTCCTGTGGAATAACCAGTTGTTATTGGCAGCAAACTTCCTGTCGCAAAATTCGCACTCGTAGGGAAGATCTCCCGTATGTGTGGCCATGTGATCCTTTATATACATCCTAGACAAACGACACCAGAATCAATAAAAAAAAACCCCCCGTGTACAAATCACTCCGCCTAATCGGAATACATACTTGTAGTACATCTTCCCGCAAATGCTGCATTCGGTCTTGAGTGGGTGTTTAGCCTTGTTGGAATGTTGCGCTCTTATGTGGGCTTGGAGACCCACTCTGCCCTTGATCATCCGGTGGCATAATTTGCACTCGTGCCGCTGGCGATCCTTATGATGCACCAATGCTACATGCTGATTCATATTAATTTTGCTGTAGAACATTGTCTCACATCCCTCTTGGGAGCACCGGTACGGTTTGATGCCCAAGTGTATGTTCAGGTGGTTTTCTACATTACATTTTCGAATCAACATTCCGCATATATCGCACATAATCCTTCGCTGCGATTGCCTTAGATTTATCCCGCATTGATCGCTTGTTCCCTGTTCATTATCGTTCATCTTTTCTACCTTTACTTCCGTATGCTGCATCTCTTCCAGCACCACTTCCTTCTCTTTCCCTTTCGACAGTAACCGAATATCTCCATCTCCAACCCGGGAGCACTTGAACAACCCATCCATCTCAGCTCGGTTCCGTTTAATCAACTTATGACACACCTGCAACGTGCCTTTGTTCTCTTCGCTCAACCAACTTCCCGGATGCATCATCAACAGTTTCGTACTGTGTAGCAAATCGGCCTTCCGACAGGTCATCCGGAACTCGTTGATCATATCCACCACCAGCTGACAGTTGATGCATACCGATCTCACCTTGTCGTTGGCGTTAATCCTGACCCCAACGGCGTCCAGGATCTTCTGGCGGATGTCCGACTCGTTGGTTCTAGTATCCTGGACATCATCCCGTGGGACAACCCTCAAACACAACCGGCACTGGCGGACGTCAGTCTTTTTGATGCGCATCTTGGTTTTAACCGGCTTGAGATCCTTCTTCTCGACTGCGGCCGTATCCTTGCTCATAGTGGCCTTGGTTGTCGGTGGGCTTGAGGATGTTTCAATTTTAATATCCATCCGTTCAAAGACCAGCTCGGGGCGAGATGGGCCAGCCATGGTCCTAGCCTGTCGTAACACGGAAGAAGGAAGATGTTGGATCTGTTATATGAACCGCAATCACGGTCTGCGCGAGAAAGGAGAATGAAAGATGCTGGATGTTGATCAAAAAAACTTGGTTGCGGACGTTGGACCAAAAATCGTCATATTGGCTGCGCTCTGAATGACACGCTCCCGGAGCTCAATATTTTCTGGGTAAGAATGTCTGTTTTGGAAGATATTCAATTTTACCTACACGCAGAAAAATTTACCGTCGAAACAAAAATATGAGGTAAATTTAAATGTAAACTCAGTTTTTTCTGGCCACAAACATAAACTACACACCAAAATTCTTAAATTTTGTTCGGTACTTTTTTTGCTGAATTTGGTCTGTAAAATGTCATTTTTACCGAATGTTTGGTAAAATTTGATGTTTTACCACTTTCCAGCAATAAAAAAAACTGGATTTCTGTAATTTGCAGAAAATTACCGAAAACTGTATATAAACATTACTGATCGAAACTGTAAATGCCTGAAATCCCGCAATACTGTCAAAAATTGACGAATGTACTGTAAAAAAAGTCTTTTACAAACCAGACTGTAAAAATTACCCTTCGGAGACGAGCCAGCCAACGGCTGAAAGTCTCTTTAATAAAGATATATATAAAAAAAAAAAATTAAAATTACCGAACGGTTTGTAAATTGTCTATACTGCCAAACTCAACATTTTTCCGCCATTTTAAAATTGAATATTGCGCAGTTCTGCGTAGTTAAAGTGCGCAGTTAAAGTAAGTGTTAAAAAATGGAAGACATATTAAAACAAATTGGAGCTCTTGATGGAGGAGCAAGAGATCTTTTCCGTAAGTAAAATTAAAATACATTTGTTTTTTTCATTGTACTTTGTAGATGGATCTTCAGATGCATGAAGATCCCATCATTTGTTTTTTCTGCGGTCGGCCGATTCCGGGCTATATAGAGGGGCTCGGGCGCCATGTTAATTGGCACATTGAAAAGGGCCATTTAGAAGAAAATTTCGCGTTTTTTGATTGTACATACCCAAGATGCCAAATGCGCTATCAGCATTTGCGTTCCCTGAAGAGACACATCAAGGAAAAGCATCCACCGAGTTCAGAGCTTGAAGAAGCATGGACTCCAGGTGAACCTTCGTGTTTCACATCACAAAGTAGTGAGCAATTCCCTGAAGCAAATGCAACGTCCAGATCTATAACATTGGAAGACATTAAAAAAGTGGCAGCTATGAGCATTTGTCGGCTCACAGCTAATGTTGGTATTCCACACAATAAAATTGCGGAAACTGTAAGCATATGCCAGAACATGATAAGCCAAGTTTCCTCGTATCTGGAGGAAAAGATTGTTGAATATTTAAAAGAAAACAACATTGATGTGACCTCCGAATCAGCTATTAATGTTTTGAGTACATTTAAATCACTCGATTTATTTGAAAATGTTAAGTCCTTTTCATGCCAACAAAGGTTTCTGAAAACATTAACAGGAAGCTATCCCGAGCCGGTGATGAAATGTGTAGGCTACCGAGATGCTGTTCATCATACAGATGGAATTGACGAAACAGTTCGTGTAAATGAAACATTTGCCTATTTACCCATAATCGATACACTGAAGCTAATCTTCCGAAATCCTCGGAACCGCGATCTTCTACTTAATGAACATCTTGAGCAAGGAAAACCTGACGTAAAAAAATATGTCTCTTACAGAACCGGATTAAGTTACGAAAAAAGTGACTACTTTAAAGCTTATCCCAAGGTTAGGTTCAATAAAATTTTTGAACCTTTAGTGTCAGACCTTAAAAAGCTAGAAGACGGAGTGATTGTTCAATACGGAGACGAGTCATTCGAGATCAGAGCAACAGTCACAATATTTTGTGGGGATACATTGGCAGCACATGATGTTTTTGGGCTCCTTGGACCGGGGGCAAATTTCTTTTGCAGAATGTGCACAATATCTCGTCCACTGTTCCATAAGGATCCTACCTCAACATACCCTATACGCACAACTAGTTGGTATCAAACGAGTTTAACGGCTGTTCAGGATGGTACTATAAAACCATCAGAGTGTGGTTTGAAAACCAGTGGGTGCATCTTGAACAATTTGAAGAATTTTCACGTCACAAATAACTGGGCTCTAGATGTAATGCACGATCTGGCGGAAGGAATTATTCCCTTAACCATTCAACTAGTACTAAGTTCATATTATAAACGAAAAAAAATGCAGTTCACGAAAAGTTTCATCAACAGTCGCATCAGCTCGTTTAGTTACGGATTTGCAGACCGCAAAAATCGTCCTTCGTCAAATATAACGGTTGAAATGTTATCTGCACCAGACAAGCACAAACTGAAACAGACAGCTGCACAACATTTCCTCTTATTGAGATCATTTACGTTCCTTTTCGCCGATAAAATTGATCGAGACTGCCAATTTATAGTGATGATAGGACATCTCATCAATGTTACCCGAATACTCTTATCGCCAGTAGTATCAGAAGACATGCTTGTATGGTTAAATGAACACCTTCGGCTTTTCCAAGACTTGTTCTACCAAAACTTCTCGAAGCGCATTAATAAAGGGCATCATTTGTTGCATTACGAAGAATGCATAAGACGGAGTGGTAATGTTAAGCAATTCAATTGCTTGCCCTTTGAGCAAAAAAACAAACCTTTAAAAACTCAAGCAAGTTCATGTCGTAATTTCAAAAACATCTGTAAGAGCCTTAAGCCTTACGATGGTGATAGATGTTTTGGACAATCCACTATGCGATAAAACTGTACATAAACCAGGTCAGAGGAAGCATAAAAATAACATAATCGCTGGAGATCGTCTGTTAAAAGATGTGGAGTACGTATTCTGCCCAAAGGTTGTTTTGTTAAATGGAGTGGAGTTCCGAAAAAATCTTCTGGTTGCTTTGAAACATCACGGAAATGCACTTTTCCCGTCGTACGGAATAATCCAGGAGATAATCGAAAGCAACGGAACACTTCATGTTTTGTTAAAACTGTGCGAAACTCTCTGGTACGACGACATCCTGCAGGCGTACGAAGTCAATGAGGTACAGAGAGAGGTGAAGCAGATCGTGAAATATTGTTGTATTAGTAAACCAAAAAATCCGAAAAAATCAACGTAAACGCAAGTAGTGACGTCATTAATTTCTTGTATCGTACAGGGGTTTTACTCACACAACTTAACCGATTGCTTCACCTCGGTAATCCAGCTCATTGGTACGAAGTACGGGTAATTGAAACTGATCAGCTGACCAGCTTGAATGAGATTTTCCAGCACACAACTTTCGCGTTGTGGAAACCTTTTGGAAGCACCGCAAAATATATCTCACGACGGTGTTATAATCAACAATCAATACGAAACTAACGATTTTAAATTGGCTCACCACTTTAGTAGCCTATTGGTCCCAAGCAAACGATTAACGTACCCTATTCTAGTTGAAATTCTATTACTACACTATGTTTGTTTTGATTCGCTATGAAAGTTTGACAGATAACATCAGGGGTGTGTGGATTCATGCAGAACATGCAGGGGTGAGTGAAATAGCTTGGGACTGCTTGGGACCGTTGTTCTGGTACTGAGTGAGCCAAAAATAATAATGATTTTCTTCGCGACCTACTAGTCTTAGAGTTACCTCTATGTTATAATCGCGATTACTAGTTTATTGACGTACATCAGTGAAAACTTCGCAAAACAGCAGAAAATCAACCGTAAACATCGATGTCAACATTATACTTGTTCCTCTTTATTGTATTAATTCAATAAAATTTAATATCTAATATTGTCAGCACATATGTCAAGACGTCTCAGGTCAAGGTAAGAAAATTACGTGCAACTTTTCAAACTGACGTAACAACTTTTTTCAGTGAGTTGAATTAAAGCAGCGATTGAACCCGCTGTATTTTTTTTTTGTCCACTTACCCACACGAACTAAAATTATCACAATCAGATCTTGTATTAATATTGGATCCTAAGAGGATTGGATCCGGTTGTTTTCTGACACACGTCAGTTTGGTCGTTTGTTCTTAAAATCCTACTTAGCTTAAATAGCTTACAAAAGTAAAGTGCTTTAGTACTAGAGAGCTTTACACGAAAGTAGTTGCGTTAATTTTAAATGTTGGGCTTGTGATTTTTATATAATACACGGAGCGAAAAAACGACCCAAACTAAATAGTGTTACTAACGTGTTGCAAAATCCGTGAGAGAAGTTCTTTTTATGTTTAATGGATGTTTTTCAATCACATGTGTGTTAGTGGAACTAGGACTAAAATGAGCATTTTCTCTTAGCATTTTATTAGTGTTACACGTAGATCTTTTGACCCAATTTACTCTTTAAGCCCACCACGTTTAAACTACCGTCTTATTGAGTTGAATACTATTTACTCAATTTTGACTTGCCTTGCTGAACAGTGTTGATTGAAAGCTATTGCACGAAAACCTTTATTATTAATATTGCGCATTTCACACCAAATTGGACTAATAAGCGCGTTTTCACTTATTAAAAAGTGTGATAAAATTGCAAGTTTACTTCTAATCGTCTTGGTGTCTTCGGTGCACTTATTCCTTATGATGCAAGCAATAAGTGTTCCCAAGACATCAAAACGATTTGACGGAAACGTGCACTTTTATCACACTTTTTGCATTTTTGGGACAGTCCAGTTTCAGATGCAATCAGCAATATTTACTCAAAAAATCATTCGTTTGTTTTGGTATGGCTGTCCATAGAGGCTGAAGGAATCACCGACCTTTCAACTTTTTTGGAACTCAACGTCGAAGACTTTACTCGCTTGAGATTAAAAACAAACGTTATCAAATCAGTTCAACGGATGCAGAAAATGTTTCTGGAGGAGACTATTTTTGAAGAACGGCTTGACGAGGAAGACGAAATCGAGGACGAAATAGAGAACTATTCTGGAGCAGCAAATGTCATCAGAGGTTTCATCAACATCTCAGCTTCGGACAATCCGTACGAAGGGATTTTACTCGATAAGGCATGTTTTGCATGGGTTGTTATTCTTCAATGCAGTTAAGTTTCTTTTTCTCCTAGGAAATCGACATTGATACGGTATTCATACGGACTCCCCAAGGCAAAGCAAGCAAACGATTAACGTACCCTATTCTAGTTGAAATTCTAGTACTACACAATGTTTGTTTTGATTCGCTATGAAAGTTTGACAGATAAAATGAGGGGTTTGTGGATTTTCCTATGTTTCGAGGGGTGAATCGATTAGCTTGGGACCGAAGAGAGTACCAGAGCTGAGCCAAAAAGTTGAGCACGTTATTTCGGGACCTTCTAGTCTTAGAGTTACCTCTATGTTATAACTCTGTAGTCTGAACGTACTAATAGAGGTAACTCTAAGACTAGAAGGTCCCCAAGAAACGTGCTTTACTTTTTGGCTCAGCTCTGGTACTCTCTTCGGTCCCAAGCTAATCGATTCACCCCTCGAAACATAGGAAAATCCACTAACCCCTCATTTTATCTGTCAAACTTTCATAGCGAATCAAAACAAACATTGTGTAGTACTAGAATTTCGACTAGATTGGGGTAAGTTAATCGTTTGCTTGGGACCAATAGGCTAGTCAAGTAGTGAGCCAATTTAAAATCGTTAGTTTCGTATTGATTGTTGATTGAAGTCAAACATAATTTAAAATTGCTTTCATTCTGGGTAGCTTTTTACCCATAAATAGGTTAGAGTCGGTGTATAATGAGTCACGCCAAGAGTGAAGCCAAGTCTACCTATTGAACTGTCAAATCGGCTACCTATCGTGCAAAGTAAATAAACATTACGATGCTATGAAAGGTCTACGAAAGGTATTGCAATGAAATATAAAATAAAATTGAAGAAATCATCATAAACACGCAGCGAGCATTAAATGGTCATGGGATACGTTTGGTTTTGATCAGTAATGAGAATTTCTACTATTTTTTGATAAGATAATTTAACAAAATCACTGATATTATGATTCACTACAGCCGTTATTTTTGGTTCTCGCTAGAAGTCATTTAAAGTTGATGTAGAAGTCCTATGTTGCCAAGTGAAAAGAAAGGGAATCCTTCGGAAACCGTGATGCGAGTTCAACTGTTTTTCTCTTGGCGTGACTCATTATACACCGACTCTAAAATAGGTAACGACTCGGGAGCGTGATAGATTTGCCGAGGAATGTGTCGGCTGCGTTCTGCAAGTGGTACTAGATTATTGTATACAAACAAATATCTTCAGCTTTCATCTTACTATCGACCATCAGGGGATTATTAAGTTGTTTTTCATTAATTAAAGTTTACATTATTACGTTTATAAATCATTACACATAAAGAGCTTCAATATGATGGCTTCGGTGCAATCTGTCTCCGGTGAAAGTGCAAAACTCCTAAAACCTGTCAAAACCAAGCTTCGCTTCAAGAAGGAAGACATCCGCCAGTGTCGCCTCTGTATGCGGGTTCTTCCTCGAGCGGACATACATGACACCACGACACCCGGATCGGATCTTCGCCGGAAGATCCTGGACGCTGTAGCAGTGAAAATAACCTCCTTCGATAAAGTAACATCTGTGTGCATCAACTGTATAATGATGGTGGATATAATCAACGATTTCTGGATGACCTGTAGGAAGGCTGATACGCTGCACGGGACGAAACTGCTGATGATGCATCCCGGCAACTGGCTGAGCGATGAGAACAAGCTGACATTGGTCGCGTGTCATCGGTTGGCTAAGCGCAATCGAGCCGAAATGGATGCACTGTTCAGGTGTTCTGGCTTGGGTAACGGGGACATCCATCGGTTGACCACAGGAGAGGAAATGTTGCTGGAACCGAAGAAGGATCCGACGTTGAATGTTGAACGAGTTGATTTAGCGGTAAGGGTGGTAACAGTCAAACCAAACGAAGATAAAGTGGAAATCAATACTGAAGAGATCATAGACAGTGATCCGGAAATGAGTGAGCAGTGTGGAAGAAAGCTGGATGCACAAGTCGAAGAGGCCAACCGGAGAGTGGTGGCGAGAAAGGAGGCCAACCTGCATATGTGTGAGATGTGCGGAAAATTGGTGCAGAAAATGTACATGGAGCAGCACTTGAATATGCACGTGGGCCAGAAGCCGTACGAATGTCCCGAGGAAAACTGTACCAAAAGATTCAGCTCCAATCTGGTGAAGAATATGCACGTTAGCAATGTCCATAAGAATGTGAAAAAGCGGTTCGAGTGCGAAACGTGCCACAAGTCGATAAAGGGCCTGCCATTTTACAATCAGCATCTCCAGACTCACCTAGCGACCAATTCACTGAAGGTGCCGTGTAACGTTTGTGGGAAGACGTTTTACAAGTAGGAACTTGGTTGTATTTGAATGGGACCGGTTTGTATTGTGGTTTTTCTTGTTTCAGGCACTACCTCAGGGACCACATGTTCGTCCATACGGGTGAGATGCCATACAAGTGTGAGTATTGCGGTCGGAAGTTCGCTGCCAGGAACAATTGGGCGGTACACAGGAGGAAGCAACATTCGGACAAACTGGAGATTCCAGGATAATGGAATGCTGGTGATGTAATTAGAACCGTTGTAAATGGGCTTTTAATGATTAAAATTGAACGGAAACTTGGAAGTTTTTTGTTTCTGGAAATTCAAGTAAGCTATATTTTAACTTTTTTAGAAATTCACCACATGTTAAATATGTGATAAAGCCGTATTATATTCTAAATTGCAATTTTTTTTCTGAGATTTCAATTTAACAGAAGTTTTCATAAATGATGAATTTTTTTATTTGATTAGGATCTGCAAAGCGGTCGAAAGTCTTAAATCAATGCAATTCTACCAAATTCTACTTTCGCAGTAGAAATTATTAGGGGAATTTACGTATTCTCGGCAACCTAAGCAGCGACCTTCTTTCTATAGCCTTTTTTTTTCTAACGAACGCACACATATGCAGTATTGGTTTGTTTACAATCTTTTGCTGCCAGCTGCAATTAACTACTTCATTCGAGCAGTTAAAATGACGTTTACTCGAACTTTGAAATAAACCATTATTTTGAGATTTTTTTTCTAGAACCACGAGAAAAGTAGCCAACATTTGTGCGTTTCATAAAAAAATCGAAATTAGTTGGTCCAGTTTTGTGAAATCGCTGGTAGAAAGTCACGCCAAAACTGCTTGACAAAGTGGTCAATTTCAGTCGAAAGAATGGTCAAAAACTGTTTTGAAACGCTTTTACAAAGCTCCAATCTTCTCTAGTGAGTGCGAGTATTGTCGGCAACCAGTTTTTCTTCGGCAACCGTTCCATTTGAACTGCATGTAAATCTGCTGTTCTATTATCGGCAACTCGAAATCAGCTACAATTTGTAGTGCGTGTGTTGCATTTCAAGAAAACCTTGCTAGATTGCTTTTGCTCAGTGGTAAAAACACCGACAAACCGACATGACACTTAATTCTGACTTATGCCCGAAAATCGTAAACGGCTGATTTAAATGTGCAGTGATCCGAACTGTCAAAACCATAGCATTTTTTGATCTAGATAAAAATAATTTGTCCAGAATAAATCAGACACGAACCAATTCATAACTTTTGCATGCGGATTCATGGCTTAGCTAAATTGTTCCCACGAACACGGAGCCAGATGTCAGTAGTGTGCTTTGGTCAGACATTTTATTGTTTTTGGTATGGTCATTCATGTCGGTTTGTTGGTGGTAAAAATATAGTCAAATTGAAGCTGAAAGCATAAAGAATCGTTTGCATGCATTCAGCGAAGTGTTTTCGTAAGGAAATCCAGTGAAAATAGTGTTTCAATTTGGGTTGCCGAAAATAGTCTGGCATGCCGAAGCCGTCATTTCCCCTACATAAATATGGCTAACAATATTATTCTCGACAGTAGTTAAGGCTCACGCACATTAGATCCGGATCGGACGCGTTGCGGCAAAGTGACAGCTAAATCTATTGTCTAACTGTCAAATTTACGTCAACGCAACGCAAACGGATCTAATGTGGGTGGCCCTTTACTGTAGAATTAACTGAAATATCGTTTACTACACACTAAGTTTTTTTTCTACTGAGCTCGGCTGTGCAAAACTCGGCAAACATTTCATTTTGTTTGCTGAGATTCAGCTAACCATTACCCGAGACTCAGCAATCAAATGTCACTTTTGCTGAGATCCCAGTGAAACTTATTTTGCCGAGCTCGGTAGAAAAAACTAAGTGTGTACAACAATAATTTAGGTTGTGATTCAATCACTTTTGTTTTTGTTCATACTAGAAATAATGGTTCCCCGTACTACGCCACCGTTTTTGACGCAGCATGGTAACATCAACAACAGTTTGTTGTATTCATTTCAAATACAATATTCGTTCTACCGAAATTTAGTGGTATTTTGTTTTCATTTTTAACCTACGAAATAGTAGAGTCGGTGTATAATGAGTCACGCCAAGAGTGAAGCCAAGTCTACCTATTGAACTGTCAAACCGGCTACCTATCGTGCAAAGTAAACAAGCATTACGATGCTATGAAAGGTCCACGAAAGGTATTGCAATTAAATATTAAATATAACAGAAGAAATGATCATATACACGCAGTGAGCATTACATTTGTCATGCAATACGTTTTGTAATGATCAGTAATGACAATTTCTACTATTTTTCCTTAAGATAATTCCACAAAATCACTGATATAATGATATACTACAGCCGTTATTTTTTTCCTCGCTAGAAGTCATTTGAAGTTGATGCAGAAGTCCTCTGTTGCCAAGTTAAAAGAAAAAGAATCTTTCGAAAACCGTGATGCGAGTTCAACTGTTTTTCTCTTTGCGTGACTCATTATACACCGACTCTACGAAATAGTAGTGGACTGTTTTCAGTGTAGCTACAGAATCCTGAGTATGACTCTGCTGCAACATGCTGACTGCGTTCTGAAAATCGTTAGGTACTAGATTATTGTTTACAAACAAAAGACTCACATTATTTCCGTCTTTCACCAATCGACCGACGGTTTATAGTTTTCACAAAAGTTTAATGTATTTCTTGAATTAAAATTGCTTTTTAAACCATTCACCGCATTATAGAGCTCCCATCAGATGGCTTCTACGGAACAAACTGTCCCCGGTAAAAGTGCAGGCCCAGTTGTCAAAAAGTTCCTTAAACCGATCAAAACCAAGCTCCGCCTCAAGAAAGAAGACGTCCGCCAGTGTCGTCTCTGTATGCGAGTTCTTCCTCGAGCGGACACTCATGACACGATGGCACCTGGATCGGATCTTTGCCGGAAGATCCTGGACGCCGTAGTGGTGGAAATATTCTCCTCCGATAGAGTAACATCTGTGTGCATCAACTGTATAATGATGGTGGATATAATCAACGACTTCCGGATGACCTGTAGGAAGGCTGATACACTGCACGGGAAGAAACTGATGATGTTGCATCCCGGCAGCTGGCTGAGCGATGAGAACAAGTTGAGCCTGGTTTCGTGTCATCGGTTGGTCAAGCGCAATCGAGCCGAAATGGATGCACTGTTCAGGTGTTCTGGTGTGAATAACCAGGAGATCCATCGGTTGACCAAAAGGAAGGAGATGGTGCTGGAACCGATAAGGGAGCCGGTGATGAATTTTGAACGAGTTGGTGTGGCGGTTACTTTCAAACCGATAGAAGAGCAAGTGGAAATTAGGCCGGAGGAGAACATAGACAGTGGCCTGGAAACGAGTGAACCGTGCCGAACAGAGCAGGATGCACAACTCGAAGAGGCCCGAAGGATGACGGCAAAAAAGGAGGCAAAAATGTACATGTGCGAACTTTGCGGAAAATTGATGCAAAAGATGTACATGGAGCAGCACGAGAATATGCACATGGGCCAAAAGCCGTACGAATGTCCCGAGGAAAACTGTAACAAAACATTCGGCTCCAATGTGGTGATGAGTATGCACATTATCAATGTTCATAGGAGGGAAAGAAAGCGGTTCGAGTGCGAAACGTGCTACAAGTCGATAAAGGGTTGGGCATTTTACAAACAGCATCTCCAGACTCACCAAGCAACCAATTCACTGAAGGTGCCGTGTAAAGTTTGTGGGAAGACGTTCTACAAGTAGGAATTTTGCTGCATTTGATGGGACCGGTTTGTATTGTGGTTTTTCTTATTTCAGGCGCTACCTCAGGGACCACATGTTCATCCATACGGGTGAGACGCCTTACCAGTGTGAGTTTTGTGATCGAAAGTTCGCTGCCAGGAACAACTTGGCGGTACACAGAAGGAAACAACATTCGGACCAACTGGAGAATCAAGGATAATGGGATGTTAGTGTTGTAGCTGTTCAATAGATGTATCGTTAAAACCGTTGTAAATGGACTGATGATAATTAAAGTGAAGCTGAAATGATCGGGTATTGCTTATCAAATAGTTAATCTAGGAATAAAAAATCTTTGCATTTTGAGAAATTTACAAAATATGTTAAATATGAGATAAAAGCGTATCAACGATGATGCATTGGTCATAAACTGCAATTGACCACTTTGTCAAGCAGTTTTAGCGTGACTTTCTACCAGCGATTTCACAAAACTGGACCAACTAATTTTCGTTTGTAACTGTAGTAACTGTAGTATATGTATGTCGTCTGTATAATCTGTATTTTTTACAACACATCATTGGGACTATTTCTAGTCTGTTGATGCAACCATAACAAATAAACAAATAAACTAATTTCTATTTTTCTATCAAACGCACAAATGTTGGCTACTTTTCTCGTGGTTCTAGAAGAAAAAATCTCAAAATAATGTTTTATTCGAGGTTTTATTTCAAAGTTCGATTGGTAGTAAACGTCATTTTAACTGCTCGAATGCAGTGGTTAATTGATACAACCTCTTCAATAATGCTTTTCTATATATAATATATGTATATTATACATTATCAACTAGAAATAATCAGAGGGAGAAAGCAAAATACAATTCGGCAGCAGGGATTTGTACCTTAATTATCTTGCAACGCTTGCTAGAAGCCTGCATTTCACATGACTTTTATTTTTGATTCTATTTACGTGTAAAATGCCATTAATTGGTGCCATTAATTAACCAACTAAGATCAATTAATCAATAGAGTTAGAATATTGTTTTCGATTCCAAAAACTAGTTGAATTTGAGAAGCACACGAAAACAGAACAGAAGGGGAAGTGCAAACAAATCGATGAATTAAAAAGTGGTTCGTTTTGCTGCTCAACAAGCAATGTGTTGTGGTAGCGTTCCACACGGGCTTTCTATGTGCACTCACACTATCATAGCATGCTGCCTATCTTAACTGCAGGCAGAAGATGCCTTCTACCGCTAGGTGCGCTAGTGTTCGCAAATGACAAGTGGAGCCACCTTCTGATCCGAAGTTCCACTCGTGTGACACGAAACATAAAGGTGATTGAATTTTTTTTCGATTGCAATACTCTTAAAATTAATCTAATAAGAATAAGAAATCCTCGGACAAAATCTAATGGGAATGTTCGATTGGCTCAGATTTTGGCAGCAGCGTTGCCAGATTGTTTTAAAGCTTATCGGTATCAAAGGTATAAAATAATCGGTATTTATCGGTATTTACTATTTATTTAACTTTTAT